ATGCTGAACTGTTTCATTGGCTTGTGTTATATCTTTCTTTCTTCTCTCCTCCCTACTGTCTGCTGTGAACTGCTATTGAACTATGCCTAACCCTGCCTATGCTTTATCTCTCTTTTCTCTCTCTTAAAGTACAGTCTAAGAATTTTATAATGTTTATTCTTGTACTTTTCTGAAGGGGCTAACTATGGGAAATGATGAATTAAGATGTTTAGCTTGCATAATACATCTTGCATCTCCTTTATCTCTCTTTTGACAGCTTGGATAGATTTTCTGCTTTGACAGTACATTCCCTTTTTGCTTTTCTTTGATATCTTTGGCATTGGACTTTCATTTTAGTTTTGAATGGGAAGTTTTGCAATTTAGTTTGAATTGGAAGCTGAGGTTCTATGCAGTCTTGAATTTGTAACTTATGCATTTTTTGGCATTTGCATTTCATGAAATAAAAATAATCTTCCCTCTCTGTGAACCGGGAGAAATCCCGTGATTTGCAGAGAGGGTCAACTGATCCCAGTCAGTGGCCCCTAATGATGAGCAACTTTTTATCTGTCTTTTAATTAAATGCTTTCTGACTTTTCTTGTTTCTTTTTGCAGATGAAAAACGGAATACCGGAGCGGAATGAAGAACGAAGAATATTTAGAAAATAGGATAGTTTTTCATTCTATGTAATATTTAAATTAAATGTAAATTATTGTTTGTAACAACAATTTGTACAAATAATTCGAATATCAATAAAAATCAAATTATCCAATTGGTTCTAACTTTCCTTATTGCTTATTTATTTATTTAAAATTCTTAGAATTAAAACAATTGAAAAATAAATTCAATCATTTAATTTTAGAATAATAAATAACTAAAATAAAACAACATTGATCCAATAAACCTGTCTTATCCAACATCCAAAGCAAAGCAGCAATTAACCCAGATAGACTGATCAAACACATGAACACTGTGAATCCAATACTGCATCTTGTATCTGACTGGCCCAATCAAAACGTACTGAATTCAAACCACTGTCTCTTTTACTGATTAAACCAAGATAACGCGAATTTTAATCCGAATCTTGAAATAAACCGCAAAGTGCTGTGGAATTCAAATTCTTCTGAGAATATGCCCATAAAACCCTAATTCCCGATTAAATGCCAAATCATACTCGCTTGATCAAAATTGAACCAAAAAATCAACCAAACCTTAAGCCCACTGTATGAAACAATTCAGAGCTCTGAAGAACAGTGAAAACCCTAATTCTGCTTGACTGTCAAGAAAAGTCCGTTTGTCCGATTCTTGAGCCAGTTTGAGAAGTCAGGAAATGTTTGAAGCCGAGATTTCTTGTGGAAAAGCGCGAGGGCAAATTTTGGGGTACAACACATGTACAGGTTCAGTGGCATGAGTAGAACATTTCTTATTCACAAACCTAGAGCTAATGGTGCCTAATAAGAGAGATAGAACTTCATGAATATAACTATGCAGTTGGAATCGTGCCTTGCAATGGAGGAACTTTCAGGACAAGATGATGACTTGTACAGCTTCCTTGAAGTGTAGTGATGCTATTCCAACACTTGCTTTGCCTTGAGACACTTTGAATCGGGTTGTGGAACTTCAACTGCAAAATGAGAAAGTGAAAATGGTGGAACTTGTTAGAGGAATTACAGATCGTGTTTCAGGTCTTGGTTAGCTTGCACTGATGCTAGGGAATGTGTGTGAACTGGTTTGGGCAAGAAAGCTTGAGAGGAATGAAAGATGGCACTCAAACTGCAGGCCTTGCCCTGTTCTTGCAGTTTGAAGGTGATTCTGGGATTGGGAGTGTATGAGGGATGTTAGGGTCGTGTACTAGCTTAGTTGGGATGTCCTGGATGTGTTTCACAAGTTTGCTCAAGTGTTTGTAAGCTGATATGAGAGTTGTCTTACAAAATGCAATGTTACTTACACTTTAAGCAACAAATGCCCAAGTTGTGTTCTAGGTCAGTAGAGGCCCCCTAATGTGCTGCATAATCTCTCCTTGATCAGAGTGTTTTGCTCATAATCTTGTGCCAATTAGATCTCATCTGCACTTGTGGATTTGCATCATGACATAAAGTGAAACTTTTGCAAAAATGGATATAATGCTTTTTCCAATTTGGGATTAATCCTTTAGGCAATGCTTGAACTCATGAAACAAGGCCTTAGCACAATGAACATGCATTATATTATTGAGTGTTATATGGTTTAAGGACCTGTAATCAAGGGGCATGCTGGTTTGAGAAGTTTGCACAAATTATGAACATGGAAAATAGCCAATTCAAAAGTGAGTTTTTGCCAAATTGTGAAATTCGATTCTCTCAAGTTATGAGGTTGTTTGAGAAGTTCTTGGACATTTTAGAAATCTTGGAATGTGTACTACAATCCATCTTTGAAATGCAAATTGAAATTCCAAGTGGAAGTGTATGGAAAATGGCCTTGAAGTTGGGTAGAAAACCTTGTCAAAATAGGTTAAAATTTAACTAAGTTAAGAATGGTTTAGTGCCCTTATTCAAAAATTTGTAACTTGAGATACAAGCCTTATTTGGGAAAACTCTGTGAATCAAAGTTGTAGATTATGAAACAAGCTACAACTTTCATGTTTTGACTTTTGTTTGAATCCAAATAGATCTTGGTGAGAAAGTGGGGAAAAGTTGGGAAAAAATTAGGGTTTTTCATAACTTAGAAAAATTCTAAGTTATGAAAAATTCTCATTTCTAACCCTAATTTGCATTTTTTGATTTCTTGGTGAACAAGTTTCATGATTTGGCATGTTTTGATGAAAAATGAATCTTGACTCTTGATTTTGACCAAAAAAGTCAGAGTTTGACTTTTCAGTATACAGTCAAAATTGATCAATTGACTGGGAAATTCAACTGTCAATCTTGTGTACTTGGGATCTTTTGAGTTTGTTGAGCATGTCAAGATAATTCCATGGGTTCCTTGAGTCCATATGTGAGCTTGGTTTACCATTGGTTGGGCCAAACAGTCAAAAATTGCCTTTGTGCAGTCAAAACCCTAAAAATGACCATTTTGCCCTTTTGGTGATCTGATCAAATTTCTTGTGGAATTGTGATCCCAACTTGATCAAATGGTTCATAGGAGTTCATAATGTTGATGTGGGTCAATTTTCATGAGGTTTGACTGTCAATTGGCCACAGTTGACTTTTTCTCCAATACAGCTGATTTCTAGGTCAATTGTCCCATTGACTGGGCAAAACTTGAAATCAAGACTTGAAACTTGATGAGGATAAACTTGGGAGTCCAATATGAAGCAAGAAAGTCATCTTAGGCATTTTGGGTCAAAACATGTTTGTGCAAACACAAACCCTAATTAGGGTCAACAGTGCAAGGAGAAGTCTTTGAGCAGATGAAACCCTAACTGGATCTTGAGCTTCAAGGGCTTTGTGGTGAGAAATCAAATGAGAAATGGGAGGGCAAATTTTGGGGTACAACACTTTGTTTCTTAAACCGTGAACCAGGCCACGTTATAACCCTTAAAAGTCCTAGCTGAAGCACGGGTTAGTTCGAAAGCATACTGTTACAAAAGGTATCCTGACTCCTGTAGGGCTTGTTGTAAATCCTGAGTTGACATCACATTTTACTAAAATCTTACTGAAAAAAAATGCATTTTCAAAAACTTCAAAACAGACACAAGCTTTGCATTCTTAAAATAACATTGTTTGCATATGACTATTTGTTCAACAACAGAGAAATTCGCACGACGAATATCTAGTGAACAAGAAACCTTCTCAATAAAAAGGGTCACCTCAAGTGGAAAAAAACACTTCCAGCCAAGGGGCAGACATAACCATTGTCCATCATCTGGGGTAGTCAAGTCAAGATTCAAGGAATCTCTCAAAATGCCAAATAGCCCGGGGAAAATCTCCATCTGAGTCACTTGGGGCATTAGACATGGATTCCCGCAACGAATCTTGCATGACCAAACATCTTCTGGTAGTATGGAAACACAACACTACTGACAGTGACAACTCCCTACACTCTGAAAGCGTGGACATGGTCAAAAAAAATACTACGCATAATCAAAGACCTGCTAGGTCGACTGGCCTAGGCAAAAATAAGGGATTCCCGGCGAACCAAAAGGGTTCGGGCAAAAATGAGGGATGAAAATGAAAAATTTGTACACCTGGCAAGTCGAAAACCTGAAAAGGCGGCTTGGGCAAAAAAGGGTATCCCGATGGACTGAAAACCCGAAAGGGCGGTCCAGGCAAAAATTAGGGATCAAAGCGTACGACTATTGTTGCACCCCAAAATTTTCCCTCCTAATCTCTTTTATTTGGTTTGGACTTTTTGCATTCATCTGCATCATTCCAATGGGTCATTTGCATAGCACGCATTTTTCATAAAAATAAATAGCTCTGAGGTTCAAAGTCCAGTGGTTGTGCGACATTAGGGTTTCCCAGTGGTTAAGGCGCTCGTATCCAATAAGAGATGATTTCTTATTCAGGCAGCAAGCTGTGGAATTAGGGTTTTTGGTTCATTCTCTTTTTTGGATTTCTTCTCCATCAAGCTACAAGGTTATTATCTTCTGTTGAACAATAAGTTGCAGGGTATTCCTGTCAATAACATAAGGTTGTGATCTCGCGTACATGATTCAAAGCACCTCATTCTATCGTTGTGCTTGTCATTTGGTCAAGGTTTTGTCAATACTAGGGGTGTATTAAGATCTTCTCTAAAGGATCAAGATCTGTTATCAATCCAGGATGCATATGATGCTTGCATTACAGGTTGTTGACTATGTCATTGTTGCATTAAGTTCATCTATCCTTAAGTTAATCAATTAGGATTGGGTACGTCATGATTTAAGATATTTTGTATGGTAAATTTGGTTGCTTGACGGCCAAGGTATTGCGAATAATTGGTACAAGCTATTGTTTGGATATTTGTGCAAGAACTTTGGTTTCAAACATGGATTAAGGTTCAACTTGATAAAAAAGGAAATAACATGCCCGAAGGTTTATTTCATAAATTCTTGCGGAGGAAGATGGCACATGAATATAAGTTGAGATTAAAGTACATGGTCAAGAATCTCTTCATGATTCAAGTTGTTATTTTCAAAGATTATCCCACACCATTATTAACCCCAATTAGCAGCATTCAAGAGAGAGATATTGAGGATGAAATCATTGTTGAACACGATGAAAGTTCGGATGTTGTGCCAGCCGCAGCTGCCTCCTCCTCGTATCAGCCAGTCATGGGGCACAAAATGAAGGTCCAATTAATCAGAGGGGAAAAGGAATTAACGGACGCATTGCTTCTGGATGCAAATGGAATGGGAAAACTAGATGGAAGATCCAGAATCTGGGTGGAGCAACTAAGAGGTATTTCCCTTGAAGCTCAATTTGTCCTTAACAAATATAATGCCAAATTGAATCATAAGCCAATTCTCATCTACATTTGTAAGTACTGGATTCGACATGTTGTTAGTAATAAGATAGATGGTATCAGAAACAAAATGGAAGATGCTTTTAGGAGAAGAAAAGCGTATGGTTTAATGCAAATCCAAAGCCGAGTCGTATCTAAGATTCAAATATTATGTGCACGGATGCAACCGTATCTCGCTGCCAAGAAATCCAGTGTGGTTGGATTTGATGATGACACACAAGTTCTGATGACGGAGTTACTGTCGGATGAGAAATGCCGCTGCATTACTTGGATTGTTGGAGTCGGAGGCACGGGTAAGACAACACTAGCCAATTTGATATTTGAAGACAACACTGTTGTAGCTCATTTTTCAGCGTCGCGTATGGGTGTCACTGCCTTCAAATTGTACGACAGACCAGTTTGTTGCAGAAATTGGCAAGGAGACCGCCAAGAAAATTACAGTAGAAGAAGAAAACGTGCCCACTGATTACGTACTCATAACCTTGGCACACTCAAAGTACCTTATAGTTGTTGATGGCCTTAAAGAAACATCCAAAGTATACTTGGATACCTTGAACAGGGTCATACCTGATATGTTAACAGGAAGCAGAGTTCTTTTTACTACTCGCAATGCAACAGTAGCCCAACATGCAGCAGGTAGAATCATTCTTCACCCATTACAGTTATTAGATGATGAAACTAGTTGGCTGTTGTTCACAAGACATTTGAAGGTCCCCAAGTCAGAAACAGAACTTATCAAGGTTGGAAAAGAAATTGTGATGAAATGTGGGGGACTGCCATCACAAATACTGAAAATAAGTGATTTGCTTTCACATAAAGATGTTACACATGAGGAATGGTTAAGCGTGCTAGGAGGGCAGCAGCTCAATGAAAATCAAATACAATGTTGGTCTGAAACGCTAGACACAATTAATACAAACTTACCTTATTATCTAAGAAGATGTCTATTTTACTTTGTGCTATTCCCTGCTGAATTTGGGATCCCTGTCAGAAGGTTGGTTGTTTTGTGGGTTGCCGAGAGTCTAATTCATCAAGCAGAAGATGACAAAGTGCCCCCGGAGCTCGTTGTAGAAAGGTATTTGACAGAGTTGATAGATCGGAACATGGTCCAAGTATCCAAGAGAAAGCGCAATGAACAGGGTGATCCATCTAAAACTTTTGATATCCCACAGAATGTGAAAATACAAATTGTTGATGGTTTGGGATCAAAGAGGTATTCTGACCCAAAGTTGGAATCGAGTTCAAATGTTTCCACTCAATTTCCTTCGGCAAATGACCATCTTCAAGTACATCAAAAATTTCCAGTTGCTATAAATATTAAACCTGTTCGTCCAATCGTTGATTCAAAGGTGTTAAACCAGAGTGCTTCACTGCATTCACCTGTTTCCATATTGCAAGATTCAGATGAAGGGTTCTGGAAGCCATTTTCTGATATTCGGAAGATAGGCATAAGGGAATTTCAGAAAAGTTTCTTTCCAAAATTTTAATATCTTTGCAGCTCTATTTCCGAACACGCGCCCACAGCAAATCAATTCACCACTGAGGAAGGTCCAAGGTTGCACATTCCTCTCAAGACAGACAATTATGTCGTGTCTGACTTTGAGGGTGAACCATCAAGCATAATTGCTTGTGCACTGTCCTTGTTGAAAGACTCATCTGAGATGTCGAAAATTGATGGTGATGTGAAAGAAATTGGGATAACTTCAAAATCTACAGATTCTTTGCACGACTCTCTAGATTCAGATTCTGCGCATTCTACTGGAAGCGTGTCTTCAGAAGAGTCACGATCATCTCGTGCTACAGAAGACCATAGCAAAGAAGTTCATCTGGGTTATGCAAAAATCACTTGGGAGGGAAAAATATTCTGTGGTTTGTCATTATTATAAGCAGTTCCGTGCACTTAGAAATTGTTGTTGCCCATCTGAGATTGATTATATTGCTTTTTTAAGCCGTTGTATGAATTGGGATTCCAAAGGTGGAAAAAGCAAGTCTTTTTTTGCCAAAACACTTGACGAGAGGTTCATCGTAAAGGAAATCAAGAAGACGGAACTTGAAGCATTTTTGGGATTCTCTTCTCTATATTTCAAACACATGAGAGAGTCATTTGAGTCTGGGAGCCAAACCTGTCTAGCAACAGTCTTGGGGATATATCAGGTTACTAGAAGACACATTAAAAGTGGAAAAGAGGTTAAACAACATGACCTCATGGTGAAAAAAAATCTTACCTACAATCGAAATATTGTATGCCAGTATGATCTTAAAGGTGCTCTTTTTGAGCGGTATACTTCTGATGCTACTGGTGCTGAGGAGTTTCTTCTGGATCAGAACTTTGTGGAAGACATGAACTCTTCCCCGTTATATGTCAGCCATATTTCACCTTATCAATAGAGGGTTTATACCAGATATACCAAGCTGGCAGTGTGTGTAATCAAGCTACAAAAGGCATTTACCCGGATTTTGCTCTTGAAGCCATACTTATGAGCGCACCTCCTATTTCCATTTTCTTAATGGATCAGGAAAGGCTTCGTAATTTTATTATTTGGGCAATTACAACTGTGTTAGCGTCAGATTCTTCACAAAGGTTGAGGTCTAACGAGTCTCGCATTTTTGTCAAAAAAAAAAGAACTAGGAGAAGAGTCTCGTGATGACTCCTTAGTGTCAAAATTTCTGCGTTGGTTAACAGCATCAGTAATCAATGGGAAGCTTCATCAAAAATCCAATGATATATATTCAGGGTTTACAGAAACACATAAGCTAGAATCCCTGCATTCTTTACTGGTGCATGTAGAAAATACCTCAGGACAAAGACATGATATTAATATTGGCTGTGAGGAGTTGCTTGCTTCAACAATTTTCTATCTCCAACTGCTTCCTGGTATAAATCAGGAACTTCTACCATCAGTTGTATCTGCTCTATGTCTCCTAACTTTTGGTGCCTCTAATTTACAAGTGGGAAGAACCATTTTATTGCAAGACTACGATACTATCATATCATCAAACTCTTTAAGGGCACGATGCCCTCTTGAAGCTAATCCAGATTGGAGATGGTCGTTTTACCAGCCAAGGAAGGATCAATCACTGGAGTTCACTGGCACTAGTACAGAAAACATGGCAGAATATCATGCTTGCCAAACTCTGTTGGTGATTGTTGCAAATGTGCTTGGTGGAAAGAAATTAGAGTCAGCTTGTTTGTCCCCTCTAGATGTTGAGATATCTTCCTCAATCAAATGGGAAAGAAGTTTATTGAGAAACTGAATGTTTATTATCAACCCATTTTCTGGGCCATGTATTCGGTGCATTCAACTAGACCCAACCAGCCAAACCCAGTTTGATAACCCGAATGATTCAAATATGGAAGAGATGCCCATTGTACTGACAAGGGTAAGTTTAAAACTGAGTTGCACACTAATACAAACGCTAGCAATCAACACAAGACTAAGCTTGGTGGGAAGGCTGAGATTTCAAAACGGCAATTTATCTAATCAGAATAAAGAGTCGGTACAAGTTGAATTAACTGACAAATGGTATCCTAATATGCCATTTTTGGATGTTCCTTTGTTAAAGCAGCTGGCTGCTGAAGGAATTGTTTGTAGGACAGAAGCTTGAAGAATGGGAAACAGAAGATTAATTAACAGCTCATCAATTTCCTCCTAACAACTTTATAACTCTCTAACTACTTCCAAACAGAATTCCTAACTAGCATAACCACCTTGTAACCAACTCTCAATCTCACCCTTCAATCCCTAACAAACTCTATCCAAATCAATGGTTCAGATTGATTCCCACATAACCGTTTCCTCTCTCAACTACCTATATAATCCAAACCCCCTCCAAGTTTGAGGGGACGGGGTCACTCTCTCTTTTCCAGTTTCAGAACTTCATCATTGTATCAGCTTCAAAACAACTTCTTCCCTCTCCATCATTCACTCTCAATTTTTCTGAACTCTCATAATCTTTAATTTCCCCTCTCTAAACTCCGTCTTCACCTCCACTCTCCATTGTTCGACCTTCAGTTAGTTCTCAAAGCTTCACTTCTCTCTGATTCGTCATACAAAGTTCATTTTTCTCAACTTGCGATAATCTTCATAATTGTCATCATTTCCGCTCTTCTCCTATCGATAACGCACGCAACTTCCAGACCAAAGAAAAAGTGAAGACAATGAGGAGAGAATCAAGACGAAGCAGACAATATCAAGAAGGACAATAACTGTATTACTTCACCTCTGGATTTCTGAAGCGCTACCAACGTGCCTTCAATAGGTAATCCTCAATCTTCTTCTTTTTACGACTTTTTTTTGCTTGGTCTGTACCACAACCGCGAAGGGTAAAATGCGGCGAACGATAAATCCACCATGTAATCTTGATCGGAAGAAATGTAGAGCTTAAGTTTCGTTGTTAGATTCAGAATAGAGGAAGAGAAATTGACGAAAGCAAGCAAAGGAATCGAATTCAGAGGGAGACGTTAGGTGGTGTTAGCAAGAAAATTGAATCGGAACAGGGGAGAAGGGGTGGAGTCATGGCGGCATCGCCATTGTTGTTGTCGACATGTAGAAGAAAGGCTTTCTGCGTAAAGGAGCTGGAAGGGGTCGTTTACAGTAAACGCCGTCATTTTGGAATTCTTTTATTTCTTTTTCTCCTTTTATTATTATTCATTTATTTAATTGTTATTTCAAATGGTTAAATCAAAAAAAGAAAAGAAAAGAGGAGAACTTATTATATTCTTTTTATTATTTTGCCTTTGTGAATTAATTCATGATTATTCGGTTACTCGAAACTAGTAATTCACTTTGCTCGTCAAGATTCGAGTCTTATGCAGGTTTTTATATGGATATGTTCGAGATGTCGATTGTGATTCATTTTCACCTTAAAAGATGCTTCAGTAATGGGGTTTTTGACTCTTTTCTTTGTTGGTGCTAGCAGCTCGCAAGAACATCAAGTATCTTTGCTTTTTCTGCTTTTCTCTACGGGCTAGTATCCGTTTGGTATACTTTCTTTCTATTTTTACCTCGCATTTATCCTTTCCCATAGATCATATGAAGTGTGATAGGATCAGGTTTAAGCTAGTCTCCCTATAACGTTTCTTTCCCTTTTTGCATACGCATCTAAAACTAAAACTTTTTTTTACAAACTTCAAAAATATATAAAAATTTACTGACAAGAACCATGTCTTGGCTAAGTTTGAGAGATGATGAGCGGGTTTCTTCTCGACCTCATTATTCTCTTGTTCTAAGCTTTGGTATGATTCAAGTCTCAAAGACTCATTTCATGAATAAGTAGAAACATGGCTAAAATCTCTCCCTTGAGATTAACTAGTTATTCTCTACAAGCGAAAAACACCAACAAACATAAAAATCTTTTGTGCGTCCAGGCATATTTCTTTCCAAACTTTTCAAGAGAGCATGTTAATTCACTTCTGTGCTGACGCGTAAGTCTCCAAAGGTCGAGTTGCGGCAGAAGGCGAAATCAATATTGTTCATAAAAACACAAACCAACAAAAACATATAAGCCGAACTACGGCTGCTCTGATTCCTTAAAAGGGATACGTAGGCATCGGGGTAGGGCCCAAGCGAGCACAACTTTTAATTTTCCCTACACTCTTTTCCCCTTTCTTTTGCATGCACTTTCCCTTCAGTAGCGATAATAAACCGTAAGCATAGATTAAACACACCCATAAGATAGACAGCAAGAGTGGATACCGTAGAGTACTACGGGCGTGTGGGGTGCTAATACCTTCCCCTCGCGTAACAGACTCCCTTACCCTTATCTCTTGGTCGTTCGACCTTGATTTCATCCTCATCAGGTTTTCTCGATGTTTACCTTTCCCTACATGTAGGATAAAAGACGTTCGATGGCGACTTCATTGTTTTGATGATTTTCAGCCGGTTGTTTCAGCTGGCGACTTCACTGGGGATTTGGTCGACCAAATGCTGGTCCATCTCGGAGTCGCTCCTAGCTCTTGATTTCTTTTCTTAGGGTGTTTATTTTTATGCTTTCAGTTCATTCGTTCATTTTTAAATATACCTGTGCATATGCATGTATTACACTCTACTGCCTTCCATATACTGTTGTTGTACTGTATCTGCTTCTCACTTGGGTGGGAATGTTACTATTGAGGTAAAAGCCCCAGTACCTAGGCCAGAGTGCACTAGGACACTAGGAATAGAGTGGGGGCATGACGGCTATAGGACGTGGTCCGATTAGTGCAGTCTTGTTATATACCACGCTCGGAGGAGGTTCAATTGAAGGTACTTTCATCATGCACGTCTGTGTTGTGATGATTTTACTTTCAGGCGGACCCGTGATTTTCGAGTTACCATTATCTCACCCTGACCTAGTCTTCACACGTGAGTGGGGAGGGATTTATCATTACAGGTACGGTTGGTGACTATATTCAGACGATTACTTTTGGTTATGTCCTGCATTTCTGCCAACAGTTATGAGGTTCTCAGATTTATTTTCTGAGGACTTATCTTTGATCTTCATAGTCCTCTTCCAGTTACATTTCATACCTGTAATCTCGGTATTGACAAGGATACGAGGAGGCAGTACAACAGAAATCAATATCATGGAAGTAGTAACCCCATGATCACTTGCACACACATCATAGGCATATTTACCTTTCGAAAAAAATATATATGTATATATATATATATATATATATATATATATATATATATATATATATATATATATATATATATATATATATATATATATATATATATATATATATATATATATATATATATATATATATATATATATATATATATATATATATGTATCAATAATTAATTCGCATACGCATTGTCATTTCCAGGATCTATCCAGGGTTTCCTTTTCCTCCAAAGAATGGTGAACAATACTGATGTTACCCCGAAGACGAAGAGGGATAATTTCAGCTATCAGTTTCGTCCTAGTACTTGGCCCTCTCTTGAAGAGCTCAGAGACCTCATGAATTGTCAACAAATGGGCGTTTTTGGTGAAAGATATGGGAATCTCCTATCTTTGCTGGATGCTCGGATTAACGACAAGGTTGTACAGACGTTGGTACAATTTTATGATCCAGAGTTGAGATGCTTCACATTCCAAGACTACCAGTTAGCACCTACTCTTGAGGAGTATGCTCATCTTCTCCACATTAAGCTCACCGGCCATGTTCCATTTGTTCAAATCCCTATTGAACCTGATTTTGAGGCTATTGCTAAGGTTCTTTATTTGAGCCTTAACGATGTAAAAGGAAAATGGAGACGCAACAAAGTCACTTCCGGTCTTCCTACAGATTTCTTGGCAAGTAAGGCTAAGGAAATGGCGAATATGGGAAATTGGGATGCTTATTATGCTCTGTTGGCCGCCATTATTTACGGAGTTGTCTTATTTCCTGAGAT